AACAGCAACAACGACCACGTCGCCACCACCACGAAAAGAACAGCATTAACGAAATCGACCAGGTGTGCCCGCTGCTCCAGGTCCTGCGCCGTCCCCCGCCCCCCTACCCCAGTACGCGCACCCGGCGCCGGCCCAGACCACGGCCATGAGTGGGGGGGGGGGGAGCGAGCCGCCGCCGCCGGCATATATTCCGCAGCAGGCGGTAAGATTTTTCCGCGCTGCGAGTAAGATTGTCGGGCGTCCGAGCTTTGTGTTTGACGGTCCGCGCTCCGAGCTTTGTGTTTGACGGTCCGAGCTCCGAGCTTTGTGTTTGACGGTCCGAGCTCCAAGCTTTGTGTTTCACGGTCCGAGCTCCGAGCTTTGTGTTTCGCGGTCCCTTGGGGTTATAGGTGTAGGTTTGTTTCACGTTTGTTGCGCATTCTGCAGTGGTGCTGCTGCAGACGCTGGTGTGTGCTGTACGGAAGTACCCTTTTTTTTTTTTTCCTCCTCATTTTTCGACTGCTGAAGTGTTCCTTTGTCCCCCCACTATCGTGTCGCATCTCATCCTGCTGGCACAAAACACCACCACCACGCATCCAGCCCAAAGCCCGAGATCTTCCTAGCTACGCAGAGCCGGCTCCCCGCTACCAGCCTGCTGGCGCGGGCGGCGTTGCCGTGGCTGCTCCAAAGAAGACGAAAGGGGCCATCGGCTCTCTTTTCAAGGGCGTTCAGGGGGGCGTGGAAAAGCTCAAAGAAATGTGGTGAGTTTTTTTTTTCTTCTTTTTTTGGTCGGAGTCAGTCGTCGTTTGTTGGTGTGCTTGTTCTCACGTCCACCCACGCTCGATGCAAAAAAACATGCCATAAATAGTATAACGGGGGGGGGAGGGGGGGCGTACTCATATTTTTCATGTCTTAGCGGTTAGACCATTGGCCATGTAGGATTGTCTCATCCCCTCTCCTTGTTCCACGCGAGCCGATCTTCCGCTGTGTGGCGTTGTTTCTGGTCGAGAGTTCAAGAACCGGGATTCAGGGGTGGTAAGGTGCAGTAGTTGTCGTGCGTGGGCAAGGTTAAGGTTTACAAACCGTCGGACCCCCCGCGTCCCTGAAACAGCTGGGACGGAGAGAACGCGCGTCGCTTTTTCCACCGATCCGTCAGCAGTCAGTGATCGTTTTTTTTGTATGGGAGGGGGTACGCGAAGTGGGTTGTTGTGGGGGGCACCCCTCGCTTGGGCGGTGCTTTCTACCGAAATTTTCGGTGAGTGCATGTTTGTATTTGTTGCGTAGTGGTCGATGGACCCTAGGGCATCTGTTTGTGACTAGCCCGCGAGTCGTTGCACGGCAAGACCGGTTTCATGGCCAACGGCGTGCCACGTCGTTCCCCCCCCCCCCCTATCCCTTTTTCATCCTTGTGGAACATAGCCTGGGCCGGCGAAAACCCGACGTACCGTTCCGTCCCGACATTGTAGGGATGCGAGGTCAATGGTTTAACGACTACGGCATGCGTTTGCATGAGTAACCCCCCTGTCGTGCCGAGGTTGCGTCCGCTTGACCGCGTGGAAAACCCACGGGTCAACTCTGTAAATCGACTCCTGTTTGAGTCGGAGTAAAGTTGCAACAAAATGGGGGTGGTTGACGTTACAAAACACGGGACGTGTATTGTATCGAGATGCAGTATCGCCACCACCAATGCTTCCGTCCCCCCCCCTGCTCGGTTTCTGGACTCTGCCTGGTTTTCCCTGCACCACACGGCCTGCTTTGCGACAGCGACAGCAGCAGCAGCAGCAGCGACGAAGACAAGAAGAAAAAGATTAAGAAAAAGAAGAAGGTAGCGCAGAAGAAGAGGATAGCGCAGCAGCAGCAGCAGCAGCAGCAGCAGCAGGAGGAGGAGGAGGAGGAGGGTGAGCGGGGGATCTCGATGAACTTCAACCTGAACGTGAGCGGCTCTTCTAGCTCCGACTCCGACTCCGACTCCGACAATGGCGGCGGGAACGTGACCAACATCGTTTTCGTTGCCGCGGCAAGTGGAGATGAGGACGACGATGATGATGATGATGATGACGGGGAGGAGGAGGAGCTGGAGGGGGATGAGGTGGAAGGAGTGGAGGAGGAGGAGGTGGAGAAAGAGGCGGAGGAGGAGGAGGAGAACGAGGGGGGTGAGGGTGAGGTGGAGGGAGAGGAGGAGGGGGAGGAGGGGGAGGAGGAAGAGGAAGAGGAGGAAGAGGAAGAGGAGGAGGAGGAGGAGGAGGAGGAGGAGGAGGAAGAGGAAGAGGAAGAGGAAGAGGAAGAGGAAGAGGAAGAGGAAGAGGAAGAGGAGGAGGAGGAGGAGGAGGAAGAGGAAGAGGAGGAGGAAGATGATGACGAATGAGTAAGAACATGATTCAAGGATTTTTTTTGTTTGTTTTTTCGTGGAGGACGCTTGCCCTCTGCGTACATTCGTTCGTTCATGTTTATTTCATCGTCCATGTAGTGGAAAGGAAGCTCGCAGTGGCTGGGAGAAAGAGAGAAAACACCAACCGGCGAAGAGCTTGTGCCGCGTGAGGAGAGTATCGCCGTCCCTTGGCGTGGGCGACCGCCGCAACGGCTTCTGCACGCTAGCTTCCCTGTAAATGAGGTACCGAGAGGTCTTTTGTGTTGCAGTTGTTGTTGTCTTGACATTTGAGAACCGTTCGGATCTCTCTGCCCGGTACGGTACCTTCACCCGTCACCCGTCACCCGTCCGTACTGGGTTAGGTACGGGTCGTTTGTGTAGCTGTATTTTTATGTACGCTGGTATCTGTTGGTGTTCCACGAGCTACTATACTGCTGTACATGCCGAACCATGGCCCGTGGTTTCGTACGCATGTTTGGTTGGTGTGCTGGACATCTACAGCAGCGCTTTGTTTTTTTTGTCGTTGATTGTTTCCCGTGGCTTTGGCCGGTCGTGATCAGTCGTTGCCTCAAGTTTTTTCAGTCACTACTGCTTGTTGTTTGGTGTCGTGTAGTTTAAACCATCTTGCAGTGGACGTCGGGAAATTACTCAAAAGCGTTCTGATCCCTTCCAGAGGCATGCGTGCGTGTCCCCGACTTTGCTATTTTCCATTAGGTTCTTCCTTCCTGGAGCTATTTCCAACCGGGTACAAAAGTTCTCACAAAATTGCGGTAATGTAGTCATGGAGAGCGGCATGCACTGCTATCGGTAGGGCGGGGTTATAGTGGAATGCGATTATCTTTGCCGTTGCCGCCAGATTTCGATCCGTCCCAGATCGTAGGTCCGGTTAGTCACGTGGTGTGTCTTGTTCTCTCTAGAGGCATGTTTTTTTTTTTCGAGGCATTTTTTTTTTTTCCCGGCGGCACCGTATTTGGGGTTAGGTATGTCAGGCATGGTGAAGGAGAGGGACAGAAGAATTGTGTAACGCCTTGTTGTGTTGTTGGATGCAAATATTAACCAAGCCGCGAGCCCCCCCACCCCCCCCCTCCCCCCTCCCTGCCATGGTTGATCTGGGGTGTTGTTGTGTTGCCGGCGGCACACCGTGCCCAGGGTTAAGTAGGTATGTTTGGCTAGAGAAAGAGTAAGGGGGGGCAGCAAAACTGATTAGCGCTTGCTGTTGTATCATGGGTGAGCCCCCCCACCTCCCCCCTCCCCCTTCCGTACGTATCATGGGTGATCTGGGGCTTGTCTTTGTGACCCTTCTTGATCCTTCTGAGGGATTCAACGGTTTAGTTTCTCGGCTTTTTGTTGGTGGGCCTAAAGAGGAACACGGGCGAGAGAGGGAGGGGAGGGGTCTTCGTTTTTCACCTTTTGTATCAACTAGGTCACTCGTTTCCTGACTTGTGGAAGTAGTAGTAGTAGTATTTTGCACCTGAATCTGTGTTTTTTTTCAGTTGTTTCAGGGGAGGGAGTGCATTGGTTTCGCCCTATGGTGTCTATGTACATGTAGACAAGGCTCTTTGTTTTCTCCCGATGTATCGATGTCTTGCTGTTCGCGTACGTATGATACGGCTCTTCTTGCATCCTGTTTCTGTCAAATTGATTTTTCGAGCTTACTCAGGGAGGACGACAAGACTTGTACCGGTACGTTGTCTGCGATATTTGTTGTTCCGATTTTTCTTTGTGTTGAAGTTGTTCTGCAGAAGATGAGATGCCGCCGTAGATTTGTTGTGCGTCTCGAGTATATCGTGTCGCGCACGTGCCCACAGGCACTGATGGTTGCAAGTCTTCTTTGATACTTGTACCTTTTCTTGGTCGATGTGAGAACGCAGCGAGATCCGCCGCACGAGGAGTCACCCGCGGCTGTTTCGTAATTTTTTTTTTTATCATTTGTGGTTCTCGCGAGGGAGAAGAGAGGGAGAGCAAGGAGTGATGGTTTGTGCTCGAGCAGGTGATGGTGTCGGTGCGAGGGAGAACGAAAAAAAAAACACACACACACAGACAGCTCGATCGACTCGTCGTCCATCGCTGTACGCGTGCGCAGGACCGACCGGCGACAAGGAAGGGAGGCGAAGGGACAAAATCACAAGCGCACTTCACTTACTCCCCATCCGAGGACGTACGATACCGTTCACATCGCACCCAACCCAATTCACCAAGTTCTCAAAAGAACAAGGCGGGCTGGGGAGCTACCCCCTGACTTTTTTCCCCCGAACAAATGCGATACAGAACACATTTCATCCAACTCATCTTTGGCGTCGTCGTGTCCGACAAAGCCTTCGCTACCCCCCTCGGGTAGTACCCAATAGGAAACGTTCGATGGGGCAACAAAGTACCAGCTAGCTGTGTTTATGGACGCAGAAGGCTACGTCAAGCCCGTCAGCTAGCGCTGGGCATATCGTCGGGATTAATAGCAGCAGAGGTAGTAGGCATGGGACACCTGCCCTGCCGAAGTCTTCCTGGCAAAGACAACGGAAGAAAGGATGCCGCAAAAAAAAATAAATAAAAAAGGTCATGTTACGCAACCGATGGTAACTGAGCCGACGACACGAAGGGAGTAGACACCACGCGTTCGAACACTCGCTTCGCGCTGTGAGCGCTTGCCGCGCCGGCTGCAAAAATACAACCGACTGACTTCCTGCCACGTCGTACTGCTGTGTGTGCTCCCCGAGGGGGAATTCCGTAAAGTTGTTGATGTTGTCTTCACATTAAACACCTTTCCGATCTCAGCGTGTCCGTAAAGGTTTCTTTGCGACTCACTTGCCGCGGTCGGTCGATTCCCTTGTGTCGCCGGTTAACTTACCCTAAAAAAGGTTCACTCAATAAAATAAAACCGACAAAATATCAAGGATGAAAAACAGTTTTTTTACCCTTCACCCCACCCGCTTCAAAACATGTACGATCTTAAACCCACCCGTGGCCACGCAAATGAGCCCCCCCCCCCCCCCCCCACCCCC